AGGCGGGAGAGCTGGCGAGAGACCGAGTTTCTTTCATGCAGACCGTGATGAGAGCGACGTTCTGCAAAGGACCTGCTACATGATGATATCTCTTTTACTCCTGTCACACATTTATTTCTTAGTCGACCTCTTGACTTGTAGCCTGCTGTTTTCATTTAGTACCATGTAACTGTTATCTGATTTTAACCCATTTTGACTAAATGACCAAACCACTAAATGCTTTTATTTTCTCCTCTTCTTATCTTGCGCAAATGCGTCTCAACAATTAAATCATCCAAAGACTTGCTAGGTGTGTCCTAGAATAACTTTTAACTGCACAATATATTGAAACTGTAACACTAAAATTTAAGACTGGATTTCGACTTGATGAGGCCCTGAGCTTTATAAAGCCGTGATGTCCAGGTTGTTTTAAGTTAGTTAATCTCAGAAAACTATATTTTATTAGTTAATAAAAGGTGAAAGCTGACGCAAATCAAACCGATTATTTTTTTTTTTTTTTTCAAAAATAAATTTACTACAAGTTATAATAAATAAAATCATGAGATAATATAAAAGTAAAAAATAAAAAAAAAAAAAGTAAAGGACCTTTTTCCTTGCCTTCAGGCGTATTTGGCATACAGTTAAAAGTTAGTTGCTTATCCTTTACAGGACGTTGCAGAACCAACTCTAACAGCCTCTGGCTGTTGTGTGGTTTCTCTAGGCAATTTACATCCAGTAGTTTCCCATTGCCTCCTGGACGGTCGGCTTTCTTGATACCACTGTCGAAACCAACGCAAGGCGCATTGCCCGCAGCTGGGATCGAACCTGACATCCCGGCATTACGAAGCGAAGCGTTCGCATCGACTTGGCCACAGAGCCGACATTGGGCAAATAGATCTAACCTAAATTTTATAGATCAACCGGTTCTTTAGTGGTTGATGTGATCAACATCACGCCGATGAGATGATATACCTCCAGTAATATTGATAACATCTGAAAAATTATGGGGATAATATATATATATATATATATTGAAAGATAATTTCATGAGTGAAAAAAAAAGATTTTAGAGGCCCCTACAGATTGTGAGGCCCCAAGCTGCATCTTAGGTAGCTTATTCCTAGATCCAGCACTGCTTTTATTCCGTTTTGAAAACACAAAGTAAATCACCTGTGTTATTTACGGTTCCCAGGTCAACCAATCCTGCAGTGAGTATCAGGAAATGTTCTTGAAAGTAAAGGTGTGATATTCACTACAAAATCAGTCCAGTGTCAATTAATCCATAAATACGAGACTGGCACGTATGCCTAACTTCATCAAGGTATTTTTTTTTTTACAACCTTAAACGAAGAGTCTGATCTAAAATCATCATCTTATGTTCCATGGTCCCATTGAGGGGCAGGGGGAACGGAACCACTGCCCCCCCCCCCCCAACAAGCATGTCGTAAAATTTGACTAATTAAGGGCTTGGAGAAATCAGATGCTTTGGGAAGGATGAGAAGAAGAGAACGACGTGTGTATAGTCAGTGAACTACGGGAATATTTAGTATCTACAATTTAAGACATTTGCTGCAGGAGACGGAGCATCTATGGGAATGCCCAGAGTGCTATGAAGTCGACTCTTAAATTAGTAATTAGGATGCTTTGGGACGAAAGATGGATGTATCACATTCTAGCTGTTTACCACATTACAACGTGCCAAACACTTTTTTTAAGGCGAACGCAGAAGGAGAACAAGACAGAAAGCCAGATTTACTTGTACGAATCCATCATTATTTCCGTTTTGACAAATGGATACGAAACTTCGGCAATTACCACAGCCTGGAAGAACAAGGAAGTGGATACTTTGCTTTAAAAAATCCCTACGTTCAACCAGCATCTTCGAGGGGGGAGCTTTAGGTTATAAGTGTGACTAGATTATGTGCGCCATATAAAATGGCTTGGTATTGCATGCCACCAAGAGCCCTGAAAAGGACTCCTGCATTGTTGATCAAGGGAGGTTAGTTAGTTGCGTATCCTTTACAGGACGATGCAGAACCAACCCCAACAGCTCCTGGCTGTTGTGTGATTTTTCTAGGCAAATTTACGTCCAGTAGTTTGCCATTGGTTTCTTGACGGTCGGCTTTCTTGATACCACTGTCGATACCAACGTACGGCGCATGGCCCGCAGCTGGGATCGAACCCGGCATCTCGGCATTACGAAGTGTACGCATCGACTTAGCCACAGATGATCAAGGTGGACAGACCCAAATACTGTCTTGACCGGCGACGAAGTCGTTCTCCTGCGAGCCACTGGGAGACTCGGTCGTCGTTATGAAAGAACAAAGCCTCAGAATACTAGAGAATTTTAAACAATGATACCACAGTATATTGCACAGTATATGAGACCTTTAAAGTCGAACATCTGGGCCTAATGCGAGAGGTATACCAAGGAAGACTAAATGTTAGGTGAGAGTGAAGAGGATCGACTTGATTGCGCAGAGTATTGTCTCTTTTTTATTTCTTCCTGCAACGTTTTGTTTCCTCAATCTTTTCATAGCCGCTGTATTTTATTATTCTTGCTTCCATGAAATACATAGATGATCGTCAGACAGATCCTATACAGACCATTTGGAATTATTACGCATAATAATAGAGCAAAACGTTGAACTGAATTCCTCATGTTTACGCTGGATTCATAGACTGTTGAAACGTTTTTGACAGCATTGATAGGGAATCTCTCAGTAATTAATGGGACATTGTGGAATCCCACAGAAAATTATTAACCTAATGAAAGCAACATATAAAGACATGAAATGTCGAATTTTTCACGAGGTAAAGATAACATCACAAATGGCGAGGTTCACCGTATAATTGTCCAGCACTTTAGCGACAATGAACCTTTTTAACTACAGTGAAACGGAGGAGAAAGCAGTGATATGAACATGTTATAAGATCTAACGGCCTCTCGAGAACAATACTGCAAGGCTCGGTGGGGAAGATAAGAAAAGGCAGACAAAGAATGGCCTGGTTACAGAACTTGACTGACTGGACAGGCCTTAGACATACAACCATGAAGTCCACCGCATCTGACTATCAGAGATGGAGGTATGTGATGAGTCAACAGTAACTGGTGATCCAACGACACGCAGTGTTACGGGATGGTGATGATGAAGGCCAACAGATACATTTAAAAAAAGAACAGGTGTCTTTTGTCGTATCTTCTATTTGTATTATCAATAGACGGGATCATGAAGACAGCAAATGCTAACACCAAGAAAGGAATTCAGTGGACCCCTACAAAACAGTTTGATGATTTGGACTTGGCTGATATTTCTCCTCTGTCCCACTCACTGAATCAGAAAAAAGAAAAAAATGAATATACTTGTTGCGAGATTACAACAGCTAGGTCTAAAAATCCCTAAGGGAAAGAGATAATGAGAATAAATCAGGCAAATAGTAATGTGGTTTTTCTTAATGGTACCCCACTCCAAAACGTGAAGTCATATATCTATTTGGGCAGTAATGTAGACAAAGATGAGAGAACTGATAGAGATATTAAAATACGAATACAAAAGGCAAGATGACCTTTCATAGCACTAGAAAATTTCTGGAGGTCAAAAGAAAAAAAGAAACAAATTCTACACTTAAAATTTTTAATTCTAATCAGTTATGTTGCATGGAGCGGAAACATAGAGAACAACTAAGGCAATTACAAATAAACTACAAACGTTCAGTGACTTATGTCTTCGAAAAACAGAGGGCATTAAATGGTAGAATCACTAAAGTTGAGTTTGGGGAGAGATCTTAGCAAGTTCCAGTGGGCCAAGAGGTGAAGAAAACACACTGGTGCCTGGCAGGACACACTTTGAGAATAACTGAGAACAATATATCTAGTATGTCTTTGCACTGAAACCAACAGCAGCATATGGGAAAAAAAGGAGCCACAGAGTGAAGTTAAATAGAAGGAGAGGACATGGGGATTGGTGCATCCAACAGCGAAAGATGGAATGACTTGGCTTGAGCTGGTTGATGGCCTAGGCCCCATTGGGGGACAGAAGGCAGAATAATAATAATAATAATAATAATAATAATAATAATAATAATAATAATAATAATAATAAGAAGAAGAAGAAGAAGAAGAAGAAGAAGAAGAAGAAGAAGAAGAAGATGATGAAAAAGAAGAAGAAGAAGAAGAAGAAGAAGAAGAAGAAGAAGAAGAAGAAGAAGAAGAAGAAGATGATGAAGAAGAAGAAGAAGAAGAAGAAGAAGAAGAAGAAGAAGAAGAAGAAGAAGAAGAAGAAGAAGAAGAAGAAGAAGAAGAAGAAGAAGAAGAAGAAGAAGAAGAAGAAGAAGAAGAAGAAGAAGAAGAAGAAGCAGAAGACGCAGAAGAAGCAGAAGAAGCAGAAGAAGCAGAAGAAGCAGAAGCAGAAGAAGAAGAAGAAGAAGAAGAAGAAGAAGAAGAAGAAGAAGAAGAAGAAGAAGAAGAAGAAGAAGAAGAAGAAGAAGATGAAGAAGAGGAAGAAGAAGAAGAAAAACAAGAAGAAGAAGAAAAACAAGAAGAAGAAGAAGAAGCAGCAGCGGCAGCAGCAGCAGCAGCAGCAGAAGAAGAAGAAGAAGAAGAAGAAGAAGAAGAAGAAGAAGAAGAAGAAGGCCATTGCCTACAGAACGGTCGGCTCTGGAAACAACTGTCGAAACCAGTACAAGGTAGTCAGACGCCAAATGTCTTACAGCTGGGATCGAACCCGACACCTCGGCATTACGAAGCTTGTTAGCAACGCCTAAGCCACAGACTTGCAAAAGATAAATAACGTTACGAAGTACTATACAAAAATTTATTGGTTGATACATTTCGATATTTTTTTGATACAGAGATGCATGCCAGGTAAGATCGTTAGATTGGCAGGCGTGAGTGAGTTCTCATTTGAGCTACTGCGGCCCCACCACACCATGTTCTTAAAGTTGAAACATTCCGTTGTTATATCAAGGTTTTCTATGGACTGCAGACGGCCTTGGTTATGTCATAGCAACTCTGCATCTCGTTATGAGTTGTCTTGGTTGAAGACTGATGGCGGCCAATGGTACCCCTGAACAATAAAATAAAGTTAAAAAAAATGTATTGCGGTATGTTTTAAAATAAGTGAAAAGCAAAGGACCCTTTTTCCACGCCTTTGGGTGTATAGGGCATATAGGGCTAGACCTATATTTTTATAGACCAATCGGCACAAGATGGTTGATCGTGGTCAGCATCACGCCGGCCGTCTTTACTTTTCGGGACTGAACCCGGTACCCACTCAAGGCTGGGTCGACCCGGGAGCCAAGGTCATTTCTAAAAAAATAGTCCTGCTCCGCCAGGGAGCGAACCCACGACCTTCCGATCCGTGACGAGCGTCTAGCCCCCATCTTCAAAAAACACTTCTGCAAAAATGTTAAGGTTAAACATAACAATCTAGATTGGGTGCACTAATACAAAGAAAAAATTGCTCAACTCTCTTAACTAGTTTCAGGAGTAGCTGGAGAAGGATCTGAAGATGGGCTAACATTTCTTAAAGTGATTAATAATAATAATAATAATTAAAATAATAATAATAATAATAATAATAATAATAATAATAATAATAATAATAATGTGCTGAATGGCCAAGAAAAGATATTTTTTTCTGTGCTTGCCCTCACAAGCGTACATCTGAGCTACGCCTTCTACGATTTCGACCCAACATATCTATGGAAACATACCACCGCCGCGAAATCAGTCAGACAACCGGCCTTTCCCTACAGTCGCCCATTCCCATGCTGGCTAGCCCAATGTGCAGAGCCACAACAGCTGGATAGGTCTCATACAGGATACGTCCGGAAGTTTTGAAAAAAAAAAAAAGACCCAAATAGCCAGTGAGCTGGCTTTTTTTTTTTTTATACACAGTGGCTAGACTTTTCGGCTTTCGTGAACCAGACTAAATGAAGGTATCGGCTAAACAAACCAAAATCGACAATACCCTGGGCCTTTAGCGGCTTTTAAATTACCAGGGTTAGTTATAGCCCTACTACAGCCGTGATGTCCCATGCGGAATACGATGTGGAAGAGCAAAATCAGCAGCGCAGTCAAATCACTAATATTGTATATTTTCTAAAACGGATGTGAGAGTTGCTCTCACTGTGGGAATAAACAAGAGGATTCAGGATTTTGAATGTAAATGGTGGAACGTCGCAAACTAGCTTGGTTTGGGCACGCGGTGAGACATGATTCGATTGCAGAGACGTTACTTCAAGAACCATTGGGGGTAGTCGAAGAAGAGGAGGACAAAGAAGAATCTGGAATGACAATATCAAAAAACGGACATGACTAAGTTATTACACACTTGTTCATAAAGCGGTCGACAGAAAAATTACAGGTTTTCTGCGCTAGTGCTTCCATCAATACACCTCCAGGACCCTAATGGATCAAGGGTTATTTTATGTTATGTTATATTATGTTATGTTATGTTATAACCTTACTCTACAGTACTCTTGCTAACAACAAATGGCACCCAGAAATTAAAAAACTTACCAAACTATCAGTGTGGGTTTCATTTAGCATTTCCGTGTTGCATGACTTGTAGGTAGAGACATCGTTACTTGCTTGGCCGTCCTGAGATGTTTCCGCCTGCAGGGTTTTATTGCTGTCCGATTCTTCAGATGCATTTTTACTAACCGTCGTCTCTCTAGATTCTACTGCAGCATTGCAGTTTGTCCAAGCTAAGTGTTTCAACTGAGCCTTCTCATTACTTGCCACAGATCTAGAAAAAACACCTAGGCTCATTGATCTGTCAGTTCTAGAATGCAAGATCCTTCTAAAGTTTCGTTTGCACTTTCTTGATGAATCTTGAGATGTCTCATTTACTGGCCTAAATCGTGATACTATATTATAATTTCCTTTTGTTCCTTCGCGGCTGGCATGTATTTTATCACCTTCTTTACATGACACATTAATGGGCACGAAACAGGATTTTATATTCGAATTTATTGTTTTGAATTTTATTTCAGATTCAAAGATATTTGTCTTCGACCGATTGCCTGCAACAGAATGAGGCCGGCGTTTCGTTGTCTTCATTAATGTATTTATTTTACAACCATTTGAATAACAAACAATGTCTACATCACGTGTTATGTCTCTACCTTCACCAGATTTTTCCCTTTTAAGCACTGCCGAATGAGCCCTTGTGTAGCAATACATAGAGTTTCTATCATTATGTGTATCAGTGACAACGTTTTGATCTCTCCTTTCCACAGGAATATTAATTTGCCTCTGTGTCCCACTGCTAAGATTTTGCTGGTCTGGTAATGTACAATTTACTGCGCTCCTGTGGTAATTTTCTGATCCCCCTATGTTGGTGTCGGCATTCTTAAACTCGTTATATTTGCTTAGGTCAGTAGAACTGACCCCGTTATTTTTGGTGGACCATTTATTACTATAATCATTAGACGTTTGAACAGATAATTCATTATGTTTGACGTCATCCCCTAATCTTTCAAGACAGCGTTTTTGAAAGACATTATCTCCATGGTGGTGACAGTCTGCCTTAATACACGACGGATATTCTAGCGTAGAGGGAATAGAATTCTCTTCATCAAAAACATCTTGGCTAGTTCCCACTGTGCTGTATTCACAGTCATTGAGCTGCGTGTGTTGTGCATGTCTCTTGCTATGAACGTCTTCTTCAGAGGGGGAAATATCTTTCAGCATCTCGGAATGTACGAGATTTCCTTCGAGCTGAACTTGTTTATTACTGAGGCTACAAAGGTTTATATTTGATAGCCTGTCTACCGTGAACGTTTCATATTTCGTAGACAGAGTTTCATTTGTGTTTTTAAATGAAGGTAGAGGGAAAGTCGATTTATCTGCAGGCATGCTCAGCACGTTGCCGAGTTTTTGTTTTTCTGCATTTAAGAACACAGGGAACTGCTCTGCAAGTTTCTGTTGTCCTGTTTTGAGTTTTGTTTTTGGAAAACCAGTCAGGCTGTTCTTACACATTTTGTTGGCGCCTTTTTTCAATTTTTGTGACTTTGAAATTCGGGTGGATACAGAAGTCAAAAACGTGGCTTTAGCTGCACTTTCTTGTCCACCCACTTTATGGGAAGCACTTTTCGAGAAACCGGATTCTATGTTATTTTTATCTTTATTACAGACAGCTGAAGAACATAGTCCCCAATGTTTGACGTTGAGATGTTGATTTGCTGTGTTATTTAAGCCATCACATTTTTTCAATTTAATTTTATGAAAACTCAGCGGGCGCCTCTTGAAACCAGAAGTCGTGGGCTTCTGGAGTGATTTATTAGATTTTACATTTCCTGTAAATGGAATAGTTACAGGGGATTCCTCTCTCCGAGAAGAAGGTGATCTTGATTTCGGTCTGTTTTCTTGTTGGTGACCAATTTTTCTTTGCGGATTCGGTGTTGCGGGTGACTTTCGTAGCTCTGCTATCTCTGGTGAATTCTGCGAAACACGTTCTGCATTACAAGTACTCTGTGGTTTATCGCCACTACCAGAATTCGGTGAATTGTAAAAAGGCATTTCATTATCGAGGGTAGATCCTTTCGTATGAAGTCTACTTGCTGCCACCCAAGCCTCTAGCATCTGGTCCTTGTGTGCCGAATGCGCGGACTCTGTATTCTTTCTAGTTTCAAACTGAGCAGTTGTTTTTGTTGTATAGGTGTCTTGCTCTCTTCGCTTCTCCGTGTAATTGACACGAGTATTTTCACAATTGCAAACTGAGGATGGGCTCAATGAAGCTAGGGAGAAATCAAAATAATTTATCGTTTTCACTCACTGTCTGTTTCTACTGTCTTTATTGCTTGCATTTACCACTTTTAGGACTGGGTATGCAATACGGTGGATGCGGAGGGGTTGCAGGAGTTGTGTCTGAGGCTTTTAGCCCACACGGATACTGACGTCGCACAGGAAGCGCGTGTTAGCAGTTTTGTCATGCAATAAAGAAAAAAAAAATCTTTACCGCCTACCTAGGTTCGAAACTGGGTCTTTCATATGACAGCTCAGCGCTATAACGATTCGATCAGATGTTCTGACGTGTTTGAAGGTTAGTTGCGTATCCTTTACAGGACGTTGCAGAACCAACCCCATCAGCCCCTGACTGTTGTGTGGTTTCGCTAGGCAAATTTACGTCCAGTAGTTTGCCATTGCCTCCTGGACGGTCGGCTCCCTGATACCACTGTCGAAACCAACGCAAGGCGTATGGCCCGCAGCTGCAATCGAACCCGGTACCTCGGCATTACAAAGCGTTTGCATCGACTTAGCCACAGAGCCGACCTCTGACATGTACTGTATTTAATAAGCCGCAGTAGCGTAGTAACTAGACGTTTGCCTGTCGACCTGAAGGTCCTGAATTTGAATCCACATTTATGACAAGATTGACATTTGATCGTGCCTTGCAGGTCTATCAAGCTCAAAATTGAAACAAGAAGATTAAAGGCGACTGGGGTGAATTACATTGTCCCAATGTGGGACTAAGTTTTCGCTATTTTGAAGCCACATCCTGACTGCCTAATATAACCTAACGGTTGAACGGGATTTTTGAGACACCCCCCCCCCTCACACCCCCTCCTCCCGTGATCCTCATCCGAATGTTAGCACTTTGTGTCACCGGGTGTCTATATTCGGTGTGATGTGGCGAGGAGTGCATGTAATTGTCGCGCACTCTTTCGATTTTAACAGATACAATGCATTAATTTACAATTTATTGCAAGTATTTACTTCTCGTTACATATCGGCCACTTTGTTGACATCTCACCGAGCACGTAAAGCTTGTTAACAGACCTAACATAGCGACAAGGACACTCCTGCATGCTTCTGGTACTAATGCAAAAACTGCATCGTGTGAGAACTAACATTTATTGATAGTGCTCTGATAAAGGTATTTGCGGTATCAGGCGGCACCGTAAAGAGGAAGGGGCAGCATAAGCAGCGAAAGCAAAGTACAGTTGGAGCTTTTAATCTGACAATGCGAAGCGTATACTGCACAACTTCCTGGGAAACCCCCTAGGAATTCCCTACTAAATATCGCAGCCGCTGAGATAAGGTCTAAAAGCTGAAAAGTACACCGGCAATGGGGAAAAAAGACGAACATTCAATCAGGCTGCAGGTGACACCATTAGTCTGAGAATTTTCCTGCTACAGGTGACACCATTAGTCTGAGAATTTTCTTGCTGCAGGTGACAACATTAGTCTGAGAATTTTCCTGCTACAGGTGACACCATTAGTCTGAGAATTTTCTTGCTGCAGGTGACACCATTAGTCTGAGAATTTTCCTGCTACAGGTGACACCATTAGTCTGAGAATTTTCCTGCTACAGGTGACAACATTAGTCTGGGAACTTTCTTGCTGCAGGTGACACCATTAGTATGGGAACTTTCTTGCTGCAGTTGACACCATTAGTCTGGGAACTTTTTTTTGCTGCAGTTGACACCATAAGTCTGGGAACTTTCTTGCTGCAGGTGACACCATTAGTCTGGGAACTTTCTTGCTGCAGGTGACACCATTAGTCTGGGAACTTTATTGCTGCAGGTGACACCATTAGTCTGGGAACTTTTTTTGCTGCAGTTGACACTATTAGTCTGGGAACTTTCTTGCTGCAGGTGATACCATTAGTCTGTGAACTTTTTTCTTTGAGTGGTGTCCTCGGTGCTTTCAAGGAGACAGGACGAGTAAATAATTAAGGAGACGACCATGAATCAGCAACAATAAAAAGACTACAAAAACGTGAGGTCAAAATAGGTATTGCCAGACATTAGCAGTATGCGGGTAGCCAAAAACGAAAAGTGAACAAACACATAACTGGTGTTATCAGTTGCCACATGCTGAGGAAATATACTAAAGATGATATCAGAATGTTTATGGGTTTGTCCGATGTGTGATTAGTACAGTTGGTCTACTAACTAACTAACTAACTAACTAACTAACTAACTAACTAACTAACTAACTAACTAACTAACTAACTAACTAACTAACTAACTAACTAACTAACTAACTAACTAACTAACTAACTAACTAACTAACTAACTAACTAACTAACTAACTAACTAACTAACTAACTAGCTAACTAACTAACTAACTAACTAACTAACTAACTAACTAACTAACTAACTAAATAACTAACCAACTAACTAACTAACTAACTAACTAACTTACTTACTTACTTACTAATCTGTGTGTATATTGGCTATCTTTGGAATTGGAACTCTGCTGTTGCTGCTAAAGATGGGGACGTAGCACTTGTGGGAATATCCCGAGTGCTGTTGTGTTAATTTTGATTAAACACTAAACATTTGGTGATATAGTTCATGGTCATGAGGCGTCCAACCTCACTTCGTCCAGCGCAAGCATCTTCAGTCTTCAGCCCCCCCCCCCCCCCCCTCTCCCCTTTTCTTCTTTTACATACCATAGTATCTGTAGGTTAGGTTGACCTGGAGGCCTGATGAAATATAAGGTAAAACTCTACCTCGCTGTGTTTTTAATCAAACATTTCCAGGCTCTCAGACAAGAGTCTAACTATTGCACTTACACCCGTTCCCAAGACATATAATTCGTGAAAAATAATTCACAAGATTCTTACCAACAACATTACAGAATGACCAGCCTGTGGAAGAATTAGTAGTATGTTTAAGTTTGTAACTTTGAACACAAAAACAAAAATTGAAACATCCATTTTCTGATTTGTACTTTTCTTCTTTCTGTAGAGGTCATAATAATGCTCTTGGGCCCTCATGGGGTAATTTCTCCGTCCTCCAAATTAGATGCATTAAATGAATATATCTTTAAATGTAATACATAACTACCTTCTTTAATAAGTTCAACAGAATTTCTGTCAGCACCAGTCACCTAAATAATAGTAAGCCGTGTTGTGAGATGCAGTACCTCTTCAAAACCAGGTTATTCTATGTTTGGTTACCATGTCAGTATTTCTTCCAGCGAGAGAATATTTTTTGGAGTTTCCTAATTTAATAAATCAGTAAAGTATTCCTTTCGTTTGTGACACACTTTCTCGTGGTTATTTATCACATTTTCACTGTTACCACAAATGTCGTCCTTGTGCGCGCCTTCCTATCTTTAAAAAAAAAATCGTTCTAGGGCCCCCCCCCCCCCCCCCCCCCCCCCCCGCACACCCCCCCCCCCTATTTGTTCTTCTTATCAGAAACTCCTTCATATTGCTAGGGATAAACAAATTGTTCTTCACAATAGAAATTCGCGACATCCAAGATCGCCTTAAGCTGTCTGCACAGTAGTTAGTTTGCTTATATTCACAGCATTGTTCGTGTATTCTCGCTGACCTGCCTAGCAATTTTCACATTCTGTTTTATACGTTTCTTCCTGGTGTCTCTTAGGAGAGTCGCCGTGGCATTGGCGGCTAGACGCTCGCCTGCTTATCGGAAGGTCATGGGTTCGCGCCATGAAGGAGCCGAACTTTTTTTTACAAATGACCTTGACTCCCTGGTCGACCCAGCCTTTAGTGGGAACAAGCTGCAGTCCTGGGAAGTAACAACACAGTTAAGACCACATCACCCACCTAGTGCCGATCAGTCTATAAAGATAAAGTTCTAGTCACATATTACCAGTACGCTTAAAGGCACCTTTACTGGTGTCATTAAGCCACATTTGCATGGCATATAATATTACCGTGACTGCTTCTTCGCATTTGTTATCGAACCAATAATTCCCTCTGTTGATGGTTGACACGCCAAGACATACTTCCCTTACAAAGTTAGTTGCGTATCCTTTACAGGACGTTGCAGAACCAACCCCAACAAAATGTGTGATTTTTCTAGGCAAATTTACGTCCAGTAATTTGTCATTGCTTTCTAGACGGTCTGCTTTCTTGATACCACTGTCGAAACCAACGCAAGGCGCATGGCACGTAGCTGGAATCGAACCCGGCAACCCGGCATTACGAAGCGTTCGCATCGATTTAGCCACAGAGCCGACTCATACTTCCTCAGTAGTTTGAATTATAATATCCTAATATCTATCTAGATTTGGTCAAGGTTTTCCTTTGACGGCTTTTGTGAACTTGCAATATTATGTTTCATTTCATTCGTAAATGTTTCTGAGAATGTTATTTCTTGTAGTCTTTCCGGTTTGTTTACTCAGGAGTTGACCTATGTGGCGTTATCTCTTAAGCTCTTTTTTTCTTTTCCACCAACCGGGAAGTGATTTCTAAGACACTAAGCTGATCTCTAGCTTCTAACTTGACTTTTGTTTGATGTTTTTCTATTATTTATTGAAATGTCATACATAAATATTTGATAATAATTTCTTTTGTCATGCCATTCCTAGGTTTATTTAGTATATATATATATATATATATATATATATATATATATATATATATATATATATATATATATATATATATATATATATATATATATATATATATTATATATATATATATATATATATATATATATCTTCTTCTATATATATAAAAATCAATGTTTGTGTGTTTGTTTGCCCCCTATAGACTCGGAAACTACTGAACCGATTTAGCTGAAATTTTCAGGATATGTTTGTTTTGATACCGGATGTTGAACCATCAGGGTTGGAAATTCAACCTGTCACTGTTAGAGATAGATGACCACAATTTAAGCCATCCTTCGATGAGTTGAAAAGTAGCCGATGGATTGGTAGGGAAAAAGAGGGGGAGGGGGCATCAGGGACTCTCTCGACGTCTGCGCAGACATTGACTGTGACATTAACCGTGTTAGATACGTGCGATTTTTTTTGTGCCGTTTCATTATTATATTTGGAATATCTGTCTATGAGAAAACAATTGCCTGCTGTTTTGAGTTGTGTTATAATCGGGACACTGCAGTAGGGACACACATCTAAAATAGTTATGTTCTCTTTTCGTTATTCCGATCGAGTGGTTGCTTGGTCGAATTGTTAGAACACTCGGCTCTTGAGAGGGAGACCAGGGTTCGAATCCGCAGTAGTTTTTTTTTTACTTAGGGCTAAAATAAAATTCTCACCTGCACTGTCGTGGCGACAGCACTAGCCATATGGCCCTTAATGATATATATTTAAAAAAAAAAAAAAAACAAGGACAGGTTTGTGGGTAAACCAGTTGTAATTAAATTTTACCATTTCACATACTTATGATTTCATTTTAAACTTTTCGATTGCATGGTTACGCTGAAATTTCATAGCTTTCCATTTATTTTCATTTAGATTTAATTATTTCCTCTGCGTTGGAATTTTAAGCTGTGCTGTTTACCATAGCGTTCATTTCCTAATTCTGGTGTATTTTTCCTGTTTTAATTGCTTTTCAATTGGTTTTTTTCCCCTCTCAACTACTTCGATGAGGGAAAGAGTAGTCGGTAAATTTGGGGGGGGGGGGGGGGGGGGGGGGGGGCAAACTGATTACTGAGAGAGCTTCAAGTCACAGTAACTGCTTTACCCACTCAAAGTAGCAGCAGCAGTAGTAGTTGTGGTTGGGCGGTTACACCGTAGTGCTCTCACGTGAAGACCGCCGGTAAGGTTATGGCGTTCTTCTGTCGGGGAGCGTAATCATACATCCTTACCTGACCAGTCCGTGGCGACAGCACTAGCCATGCGGCGAAAAATCTTCTGGCTCACGACTCCCTGTCTACTCCGATTGTAAAACAGATAGCAGTGACATTATTTTAGCTACTGTGGTGGTGGTCGTGGTAGTAGTTGAACTGGTACTTGAAGGATGATGCGTTAAATATTACATTAGCCCCATTCACTACCTATTACAATTCCTGCTCCCAATTTAGTCCGGATGGACAGGGATGTCAACGTCAGTTACAGAAAAAAGAATATCGCCAGGTGATGATTTCTCAATCCTTCGAAGAGGGAGAGAGCAGTAGTCGGTGGAAGAGGGGAGGGGAGAGGGTAATGACTGAAATTTAAGAGAACTTGAAGAGCTTTACACATGATTTTTAAGTTCTCATTACTTACTTAAATTGTTTATATTTTACTAACGCTACCTTCACTATTCTAATTTTTGTACGACTTACTTTGTTATTTACAAGTACAGTAGTAGCTTTACTTACGTCTCCTATAAAAATACAAACAGCTTTAGCATGTGATAACCAAATAGCCACTTTTGTTACTGTGCTAATAGCACCATTTAAACGACCACTAATATAAAGACACAATTATATGGCGCGTGTTCTAAAGTTGGAAAACCAGACTATCTCTATATAAATGTGCAGAGAATGATTGCGACATTAACTATATTAGACAGGTGCGATTTCCATTGTCTTTCTTTTCCAAAAACCTTTGATGAGGGAGAGGGTAGTAGGTGGATTTAGTTGTGGGGGGGGGGGTGGGTGGGGATCAAAGACTATCTCTATGTCTGAGCAGACAATGATTGTATTAGACACGTGCGATTTCTATTTTCTTTTATTTCTATTTAGCCAAACTATGCAACAGCAACGCGTGGCCGGGTACAGCTAGTATATATATATATAAAACATTTTTTTTTTAATTTGCAATAACCATTGCTCTATTTCTGGGCTACTGCTCTAGACATTGTAATACATAATTAATAAGCAGGTAAAAATGCTCATAATATATATATATTTAATTCAATAATGTTATCGGTGCTATTCAATGGTGAGTGTTTTTGTGTGTAGTTTAGCGCCCGTCTAATCTTCAGCAACAAGAGACTCATCGTTGTCTCCGCAGATGAGACCCTGCCACTAAAAATAAATATAATACAATTTAGAACCCCTTTAAGTGGCACATACGGCATCTGCCCTACCCCAGGCACACCACTGCCCTACCCACTACCCTTTGACCTGACTAGTTTGGAAGTAATATATGGGGGAAAAAAGGGGGGGGGGAGGAAACGAAAATCTTGAAAAACACCTTCGAAGACATCAAAAGTCTTGATATCGTTGCCGGAAAAAAATGCAAAGTGGTGTGCTTCCAAATAGCTTGTGGCAGGAATCGAATAAGGTACTGCGGAATTACCAAACGCGTCGACTAAGCCACAGACGCCGACTTTGCGTATTATAGCCTTAGTTAAAGATAACGCCAACACGGTCGACTTCATTGCAGCAGAGTATCCTATCTGGATCGGTACGTCAAAACAGCGGCTTGCCGTCTGCCGAGAGCACAGTACAAAGCACGAATATTGTAGCTCCAGAGACGATTCCATAGAAATCTCCATCAAATGCACGCGTTAAACAAACCTACGACCTTTAGAGCACGAGGCAAACGACTTAACCGCATCGCCGTGAAAACACACCAACCTAACCCCCCCCCCCCCTCTTTCTTTTTTTTTCCCTTAAGACTTGATATTTCAGAGAGAAGCGGCTGGCCGAACAATTAGAAAGCTGGGAACTCAAGCGGAAGACTCGGGTTCGAATCCTCGGTAAGGCTAATGATTTTTGTCTGTTGGCCCCTGTTTAAATCTATATATATATATATATATATATATATATATATATATATATATATATATATATATATATATATATATATATATATATATATATATATATATATATATAATCTCAAAAGTCGGCTTTGTGGCTAAGTCGATGCGAACGCTTTGTAATGCCGGGGTGCCGGGTTCGATCCCAACTGCGGGCTATGTGCCTTGCGTTGGTTTCGACAGGTGTATCAGGGGGCCTACCGTCCAGAAAGCAAAGGCAAACTACTGGACGTAAAATTGCCTAGAGAAACCACACAACAGCCAGGGGCTGCTGGGGTTGGTTCTGCAACGTCCTGTGAAGGATACGCAACTAACCAGTAACCAGTATATCTTTAAAAAAATGTATAATGAAGGCAGTAACCTGCAGTCTTGTGGTAGATATTCCAGAAAACACAGCAGTAAAAGACACGTATACATACTTTCAGTGCATTCAGAATTAGCAGCGGTGTCATCTTTCGAAAAATGTGGGCACACCTTCTGCTTACAGTGCGTCGGAAGTGGATGCTTCTCTTTATGTGCCCTTTTGTGTTTAATGACGTCTGGAAATGCCTTTTTGAGCGTGCTCTCCGAGACAGCAGGAGCACTACAAGTTGCATCTGTCAGACTAAGACAAGCAACATGTTAAACATGCTAGGAAACGTAGTCTAAACAACCATGATTAGATTGTAAAGCAGCCTTTCCATTTTGTGATCTGCGGCGGACCCTCGAAAGTAGAACTGAGAAGATGGGAGTGCAACCGGTACGTAGTTCTGGGGTCTATTGACTTTAAAGGGGGTCCCGAAAGGGAACATTTTTCAGAAAAGCAATTTCAATTTGTATGCATGCATGTATGTATATGTATATATATCATTAACCACTTGTGCTGTTAAGCGTCGTAAGGAAGAATATTTTGCGATCCAGTGCACATTGGATGCCACTGGCTATTGTCATGCTGTGAAGGCGTAGAGTATATAAAGTGTGTGTGTATAAATATATATATATATATATATATATATATATATATATATATATATATATATATATATATACTGGATATACAGTCTTCTTCTGTCTACCCCCTCCCCAATCCCTTTCCTAACTCCCCAGTGGAGAATAGGCCATGAACGAACTCACGCCATGTTGTTCTATCCGTTGCTTTTGCAGCTTAATATATGTCCTATTTATCCGTGTAACTTCACTTTCTAGCTTCCTTCTTCATGCGTTTTTTTTTTCTGGGGGGGGGGGGGGGGGGTCTGCCTTTATTTATATGCCTCTGTGGGTTCCAGTGCAAAGAAGTATATATGGTTCTTAGGCTTTCTAAGCGTGTGTCCTATCCAATGCCAGCGTCGCTTCTTAACCTTATGGTCAACTGGAACTTGTTTAGTCTCTCCCCCAAAGCTCTACATTAATGATTTTATCATACCATTTAAGGTACAACTCAGGTTTTTGGGCCCAGAAAGAGAGTGGCTTCCATTCCCTTTCATGCATCGCCGTTTCGCGAGGCGTGTTCTATGTTGCGGAGGTGTCACTCTTTGTGACCTGCTACAACACGTAGCATTTTACTAATTGTTTTCATCGGCTAGCGATATCGCATGTTGTATATTCCAGGATGTGAGCGCATTAAAAGATCGCAAAACATGCAGAACTGCCCAAAACTTCAACTCCCCTATGTCCAACGAGAGAGTTCAGCCTTTGTTCAAAGACTGTATGCAGCCTATATTAGAGGCTGCATGCAGCCGTGCTACTTAGTGTGCATACAACCTTGGAACTTTGAGGGAAAAAAAGGGGGGCGGGTGTTAGGGCCAGTTCTATATGTTTTTGACCGTATCGCCGGCCGGTCACTAAGCATGACACCTCCGCAACATAGGGCAAGCCCTGCCACATGGCGATTCATAAGTGGGAAGGTGTCTGTCTCTGGGCCCGAGTTCGTACGTTGAACCCCATTTAACTCCCTCTATTTTGCGCAGGCACCAGTTAATGAATGTTTGTAGTTTATTAGTAATTGCCTTAGTTGTTTTCCATGTTTCCGCTCAATATAACAGCAGTGGTTTTACATTAGAAACATTTTTTAAGTTTAGTATTATATACAGTGAAACTCCAACATTCCCCACGCCAGTATTCGTCCTATTAAGAATTAGACCTGTTCTGTTTTCGTTGAAATGTGTTTATGATGTTCGCCCCCAAAAATCTATATCTGTCCTTTCTTCGGCTCGGTCGGCAATTCATTTATATTTTGAAGTATGTCTGAATGTAATTATTAAATGTACAATTTTGACATTATTGATTTTTATGACCATGTGTAAGTGGGTGTGGGGGGCGGGGGGGGGGGGGGGCAAATTAATTTTGACTCAGCACTTAATAGGTAGGTAGTTGTACCCCACCAGGACATCACACAAGCGATAAACACAATGTGACACAAAGTGCCACCATGCGGATGAGGATCACCCGTGGAGAGGTCTCAGAAACCCCTTTCAGTCATTGGGCCATATCCATGGCTGGGCCATATTTATGCCTTGGCTATATTCAGGCCCCCCGACAGAAGCCAGGGTGGGGCTTCAAATAAAGAACAAATGCATCCCACAAAGGGACGACATTTTGTTGACAGCTTTCACGTAACAAAGCTTTATAAGCGTTTTATAGTCCTATCGGTAGTCCTGTCGGGAGGTCCGTAGAACGAATCTAAGGGTCCTGATACCACGTTTTTTTTTTTTTTTTTTTTTTCAATTAAAAAAAAAGAAAAAAAAAACTTACATTTAGAACGCGATCCTGTTTGCTATTCTAAAATTTATAAATTTCAATAATTTCTTCAGTATTACTACCACTGACTACTAAAATGTGTGGAAAAGAAATCAAATCATTGCTTGGCGTGAAATACTTTTTTTTTAAGTTGTAAGGACAGAATTGTTTACGCAGTAACCATAATAGGGATACTAGTGATGATAATAGTGGTGACTGTGCTACTGCTAGTGATGATGATTAAAGCAAATAAGATGATGATAAAGATGATATATTTATGGTCAAAATTATATCCGACCACATTTAACTGGCCTCATGAGGGAAGCAAAAAAATTGTAACGACGTTACAACGTACTTTTCGTATAGCTAAAGGATACAAGTCGGGTGAAAAACTTTGGCTATCTTATCCAGTAGAAAATTATGGCTGCAAAATTCAGTCAGTCGTGAACAAGAAGTTTTTAAAAGGTTGATCTGATCTGAAGAGGGGATCAGAAAATGAAAATAAAAAAGCGAAGGCAGGAGCAGCAGAGTCAGGAGTGGCACCAGTACAAATACACAATGACCAATAAAATCTTTCATGTAAAAGATAACATTTGCTTTCCATCCTTGACGATTTACGACGGTTGAAGTATTCAATCGAGGATACCTCACATCCCCGGAATCATGAAGCAAAGAACATGCAGTAGTCATATTTGAGCTGGTTTCCATTGGTTTTCCAGAAGAACACATCTGAGACAGTTCCACAATTGTCTCGGCAGCTCCTGAAGCTACGCTGCTGAGTATATACATTTTGTTCTTCAAGTTTTCTACGTGATCCTGAAAAAAAAATAATTGAAAAATAAAACAAGAGAGAAAAGAAAGCAAGAAACAAATTCGTTTTTCCCTTTCAATAAAGGTTTTAATAAAGCAGGCTTAATTTATTGCCTTAGGGTAAAAATTCATTGTCTATAGCTAAGTGTCGACGAATTGTTATAATCTAGCATTAAGGGATATAAGGAAATGTCATGGGTAGTAAAGATGGTTTGCATTATGTCAACCACATCACTCACTGATTGCTGATTAATCTGTCAAAATGAAACTCGTCCAATGTGCCTAATGCATGAAAGGCTTTTAAAAAAAATTTAAAATCTTTTATTTAGGGTACTTTTGTTTCTAGGCAAAACAATGCGTTAAAATGTCACACTATTTCCTGATGAGCTGTCTAATTCACACTTCGGTCACGTACGTTTTGTCGATACCAATGCAAAGTGGTAATGTGATACATCAATAATTGTGTAATGTGTCTTACTGATAGTTTTTGGTTAATACAGAAATGAAATAGTCATGGAATAAAATATATTTGTTCAAAGGAATTAATACATCTGAAAAGGACCTAATTCACGCATTTACCCTCATACCATAACGTTTCTCCCGTTACTTCCTGATATGTTGTTTAGCTAAAATTTTGTTTAGATGACAATACAAAATGCAGCGCACACAAAAATACAGACAAATTAGTTTTATTATTAATTCGTGACAAGTTAGTTTCGTTTTTTTAGTGCATTAATTATGCGATTCGTTTAAAAAAAAAACAGATTATATTATAAAAAATGTTTTTTTAAGTTTCCTTCAGTCCCATAAAGGATATATACATATACATTTGTATGTGTGCGCGATAGAGAGAGAGAGAGAGAGAGAGAGAGAGAGAGAGAGAGGTGGGGGGAGGGAGAGAGACATTTTCATTTAAAACCGGACATTTCTAAAAGTAAAATGAATGTTCTAGTAGGTTTACAAATTCTCCAGTATGATTGAAAAACGTCCTTGATGGTTTGTATAATGCCTGATTTGGTTAGAAAAGAGTCCAATTTGGGTTGAAGATAGTACACGAAAGTGTATGCACACACACAATGAAATTCAATTACATAAACAGAGGCACACACTATCCAGCTTACTTTAACCTCCGTGAACTTTTCTACCATCGGATTTTGTTTCAACTCCTGGATTTCCTTTTTGAGCTTCTTGTTTTGTTTCATGAGTTCCACATTGTGTTTTTGCGCTTGTTGTAAGTCTTCTCTCATTGTTCCCAGTCTCAGAGAAAGACATTTGTTTGTCACTCGTAAATTTTGTACAATGTGTGTTGAGTTCGCTATAAAAAAGATAAAAGTGCGAAGTGAACAGCTTCGAAATCAAAAATTATTTCAATGTAATTTATTTGTTTAAAATTATATAAACGTCACGATTAAACGAGAGAGAGAGAGAGAGAGAGAGAGAGAGAGAGAGAGAGAGAGAGATAGAAAGAGAGAGAGATATACAGAGAGAAAGAGGGGCAGACAGACAGACAGACAGACAGACAGACAGACAGACAGACAGACAGACAGACAGACAGACAGACAGACAGACAGACAGACAGACAGACAGACAGACAGACAGACAGACAGACAGACAGACAGACAGACAGACAGACAGACAGACAGACAGACAGACAGACAGACAGACAGACAGGGTGAAGAAGGGCAGGGTACTGTTGGGTGGATGAAGAAACAGAAGAATAAATGCAGAAAAGGATTATAGAGCTAGAGAGATAAAACACTGAGAAACAGAGACACATACATAACATAGACACATACACAGGTAAACAGGCAACATAAGAGCAAACAGAATGACAAAGACCGACAGAGACAGATTGGAAGAACAGAAAAATAAACAGAGAAAATAGATAGAAGGGAGGACAAACATAAAGACAGCTAGACACAGAGATATCGAGACAAATAGATAGGTAATCCAGAGATATATAATAGACAAATATGCATACATACATGCAGACAAGAACGATGGAAGACAGAAACACATACATACAGAGAGGGATGAATATAGAAAGAGACAAATATAATGGAAGAAAAACAGACTGAGAGAAAGACAGAGATAAAAAGAAAGACAGAGTTTGAGATAAATATATACAGAGAAAACTAGAAAGACACAAATACAAAAAAAAAAACAATTGATAGAATAACAGCTATACTTTTTGATAGACACATTGATATACAAACATATATACATCTGACAAAATACATTATTTGTACTCACAACCTATAGCATAA